GTTTCTTGGCGGTACCTTTCCCTTTGCCTTTTCGTGCTGCCTTTTTGGGCTGTGTCTGCGCGGGCGGCGCAGGGCGCTTGTCACGCGCTCGGGGAGTGCGAGGCGGGGCTGGTGGTGGTGGAGGCTGACGTGGCACTTTGGGTCGGAGTTGCAGTAGGCTAGGCAAGTCGTTTCGCATTGCTGTGACCTCGTGCAGTGCGTCATCTAGGCTCCAGCTCTGAGCCAGTAGCTCAGATATAACGCCCCAGATTTTGGTCTGTCACGGCTTTTTGCTGCCAGCATGTAGCCTTAGTGGACAGCTCGCGTGCCGACTCTGACCAGGCGTGGGTGGACTTGCCTTCCCGCCACATGGCGTGGATGCCCGTCTTCAACCGAGGTACGGGCAGGTGGGACCCAGAGTGGGTGTGCCTGCGGTGCAACGAGAACTTGACCGGCCATCACCCCCTGCTCCAGAACGTGCCGGTCGTCCCTGTCTGCGCGGTGCACGGGGCCCGTGTGCTCGCTGTTGATGTCGCTTACGGTGAACGGGGTTGGGTGTGTTGTCATGGCCATCCCCCTCTTGTCCTGCCCTGTCAGCCGGTCCCGTTGCCGTTGGGGACGGGCGATGTTGATATGGCCCCGCCCGCGGACCATCGCCAAGGCCAGCCGTGCAGGACATCAGTTCCCACTCCTGCTGCCGCTGCTTCCGCCTCCGCAGCTCCAGCCCCCACGGTGCAGCCAGCGCCCGCTGAGCCAGCCGCTCCGATCGCCGGGGAAGCGCCTTGGTTTTCTCGCGGCCCCCCCGGCCCGCAGGAGGTCCTTTCCTATGGGAACAGCTGGTTTTACGTTCCCCTCCTGCTATCGGCCGCAGGTTTGCTCCGCAGTGCAGCTGCGTCGGCTTGGGAAACCCACCCGTTCTTTGCGCCCATCTGGCGCGCGGCTATGCTGGATCTCACTGGTGCAGCTCCAGTAGCCATTGAAGCCTTGCTCTTCATTCTGGAGGCCCAGCAAGCAGCGGCAATCCAGGACGGCGTGCAGCTATCGCCCTCAGAGCTTGCTTTGCCACGTGCTCTTGCTGCAGCCGGGGCTCAACTTCCCTCGGGCGCCTCCATCTACGTGCCCTGGGCGGTCCGAGGCTGCTCCCGCAACAGCGGCTACATCCCCGCCACCGCACAGGAAGCTTTGCTTGTGCGCTTCCTCGGGGAGCGCGGGTCGGCCGCCCTCGCCGCAGCCGCAGCTCGGTTCCGATCCCCGCCAGCTCCCCAGGCACCGCTGTCAGTTCCCCCCGGCAACCCCGCACCAACTGGAGCAGCAGCCACAGCAGTTGCAGCAGCAGCAGCAGCAGCAACCGCAGCAGCAACAACTGCCACAACCTCAGCAACAGCTGCCGCTACCACGACAACAGCCGCCGCAGCAGCGGCCGCGACAGCAGCAGCGGCAGAACCCGCAGCACAGGCAATAATAGTCCCTCCAGCCGCCGCACGGCGGGACCAAGATGGCGCCCAGGCAGGCGCACCGCCACCCCCTGGCGGCGGCCACAGCAGCAGCAGCAGCAGCAACAGCAGCAGCACCAGCAGCAGCCGCGCCAGCAGCGCTGGCAGCGCTCGCCTCCGCGGAGGCCGTCCCCACAGCCAAGGTAGGCGCGGAGCGCCCCAGTGCCCACCATCCAGGGGCGGCAACCGCAGCACAGCATCGTCACATGCCGCCCCCGGCAGTGGCTACAGCCCACGGCCCGACAACTCCCAGCAGAGCAGTCGACCACGCCCCTTGGGCCAGGCAGCTAGCCACTCCGACAGCGAGCCACAACCTCCCGACCCCATGCCGCCGCCGGCGGCGGATCGGCAGCTCCAGCGGGCGCTGGTGCAACTTGACTCAGTGGATTTGCTCCAGACACTCCAGCGCCGTGCTTGCACTTTCCAGTTCGTTCCCCCTTTTGTCCGCGGTCCCGTGCGTCACGCCCTGGCCTTTGCTTTGTCAGCCATCCTCGACGCGGGAGCCCACGAGGAGCGATCCATGCGAGCCTGGAAGCTGTGGTTCTTGTTGCCACGCATGCTGTTGCATCGCGGCCCTGGTGATCGGAAGCTGCCCAAGCATGAGTGGATTGCACGCCTCGCGGCGTTTAATGAGGGGCGGTGGACCCAACTCCTGGAAGAAGCCCAGCCACTTCAGCCACCGGTGCCCCGAGCCGAGGTAGCGACCCCGGAAGCCCTCGCGGCCCGTGCCGCCCAGCGCGCACGCCACCTTGTGCACCTTGGAGAACTGTCCGCGGCACGACAGGCGCTGACGTCTAGCGCGCTGGCCCCAGGCACCCCCGAGACTTTGCAGGAGCTTCGTGATCCCGACCGGCGCCCAGCCGAGCCGTATGAGGCGCTTTCCCACGAGGTGTTGGATTTCCAACCTGACCAGGTCCACCTCCTCCCTGAATTGGTGCTTTCAAACCTCCAGCGCGCACGAAAGGGAGCTGCCCCAGGACCCTCGGGCCTCACAACTGAGGTCGCTCGTGTGCTCCTTGACGATGAGGGGGCTTCTGATCTCTTCGTCCGCGTGACGCAACTCGTTGCGCAGGCGGCGGTGCCCAGAGATGCGGCAAGGGCACTCGGCCTCGGGCGCATGGTTGCTCTTCAGAAACCCAACGGCCGAGTCCGGGGCATCGTGATCGGCGACTTCACCCGCCGTTTGGTTGCGCGGTGCTTTGCCCAGCAGAAGGCGGAGGCTTTCCAGGAAGCCTGCTCTCCCTTTCAGTTTGCCTTGTCCACGCGATCTGGTGCGGAGAGTGTTGTTCGTTTGCTGACGGCCGCCCTCGAGCTTGATCCTGAAAGCACTCTTGTCTCCGTTGATGGGGTCGGTGCGTTTGACACCATGAGCCGCCAAGCGATGCTGCAGGGGCTTCTCCGTGTCCCAGGGGCGAACCAGTGCCTCCCCTTTGTGCGCATGTTTTATTCGGAGCCATCCGAATATGTGTGGCATGACGCAGACGGGACTGCACACATCATACAGCAAGCGGAAGGGGGGGAGCAGGGTGATCCCTTGATGCCCGCTCTCTACTCCCTCGGCCAGCACGGAGCCTTGGAAGCAGTGCACGCTCAAATGCAGCCCGACGAGTTGCTCGTGGCCTTCCTTGACGATGTGATCACCATTGCCCGGCCGGACCGGGTGGGCCTTGCTCACCAGCACCTTGCAGATGAGCTCTGGGCCCACTGCCGAGTGCGTCTCAACAGTGGCAAGACACGCATTTGGAACTTGTCCGGACGCGTGCCACCCGCCCTCGGTCAGCCAGGTGCGCCGGAGGCCTCCTGTTGGGTTGGTGCTGGCGGCCGGCCAGTTGAAGAACAAGGGCTCACAGTGCTCGGTGTCCCTGTCGGGTCGGCGGCCTTTGTGCGTTCCCAGCTTCTCCAGTCCCGTGCGGGGCATGACCGGTTGCTGGAGCGTCTGCCGGCACTAGGTGATTTGCAGGCTTCTTGGTTGCTCCTTCTCTTTTGCTGCAGTCCGCGTTGCAACTATTTGCTTCGCATGCTCGCCCCGGCGACCACTGCCGAGTATGCGCAAGACCATGATTCAGCCGTGTTGTCTGCCCTTTCCACTTTGCTTGGCACAGGCGACCTGCCGCGACATGCCCGTGACGTTGCCCAGTTGCCCCTGTCCCTTGGCGGCCTTGGCCTCGCCTCTGCTGTTCGCAATTCCGTGCCGGCTTTTTGGGCTTCCTGGGCTGACTGCTTGGCTGTTTTGAGTCGCCGCTTGCCTCGTGTTGCGCAAGAGTTTCTTGACCACCTCGACAGCCCCGACCCACAGCCAGCTTGCTTTGCGGCGGCTGCCGCAGCACGTGCAGCGCTCGGCCACTCCGACTGGGCTCCCCCGGCGTGGCGGGAGCTGTGTGCTGGTGAGAGCGCGCCCGTGGTGCAGGAGGAGGGGCCTTCCACCTTCCTTCGTGGCTGGCAGGGCCAAGCTGCAGCCGCCGAGGCCCGTCGGCATCGTGAGACCTTGCTGGCAGGCGCCGATCCTGCTGCCCAAGCGCTCTTGCACTCCCAGTCCGGGCCTTTCGCTAGCCGTTTCCTCACTACAGTGCCAGTCTCATCAGTTTTGTCCTATCCCTGCCATCTCTTCCGTGTTCTCCTCCTGCGCCGCCTGCGCCTCCCCTTGCCTCTTGCTGAGCGCACCTGCCGGTGCCGTCGCCTTCTGGACCCCTTCGGCGACCATCGTGCAGCCTGCGCCCGGTCAGGTGTGCTCCGGGGGCGCGGGTGTCCGCTGGAGCGTGCGGCCGCACGCGTTTGCAGAGAAGCTGGAGCCAGAGTCACCTCCAACACACGCCTTGCGGACTTGAACCTTCAAGTTGACCGGGTCGACGATAGGCGGCTGGAGGTCGTGGCCAATGGCCTCCCACTGTGGGGGGGCCAGCAACTTGCAGTGGACACAACCCTTGTCTCGCCCTTGTCAGGGCAGGGCCAGCCCGTTCGGCGCGGGGGTCAAGTCGCTGGTGCTGCCCTCGCCGTGGCGCGCCGTCGCAAAGAGCGGGCCTACCCAGAGCTCGTGCGGGCGCACAGATGCCGGTTGGTCGTGCTTGCAGTCGAGGTTGGCGGGCGGTGGAGTGATGAGGCCGCCTCCTTCATCCGGTCCTTGGCCCGCGCCCGGGCACTTGAAGCGCCAGCTCGGCTGCGCCCCAGTGTTGTCAGCGCTCTTGTTGCCAGGTGGTCGGCCCAGCTGACCCATGCAGCCATAACAGCCTTTGCTTCGTCCCTTTTCAGGCAGGCTGCCGGGCCGGAGCTCTGCAATGCCGGGGGTGGCACCCTGCCTCCCCTCGGCACCTTGCTGGCTGATCTTGCCCACGTGCCACTGGCGGGCGCATCCCGCTTGCCCAGCCGGTGAGCCGCACAGCCGGGAGCCGCCGGTATACAAATGGCTGCCCCCGTAATGCCCCCTAAGCACATCCGGGGGCCGCCGGTATATAAGTGGCCTGCAGGAGCAGACGGAAAAAGGCGCGAAAGAAAAAAAAAATGCCTTTGCCTCGGATGGGTCCAGTGGCTGGCTGGGCGTCGCCTTCGGCGTCGTGGCAGGCCATGGCGACTGCTGTGCTGTGCCAGTGGATGGCGACGGCATCGCCTTTGGCGCTATAGTAGGCCAGGGCGAGTGCTGTGGTGTGCCTGTGGGTGGCGGAGCCGGCTGTGGCTGGGTCTGTGGTGTTGTGTTAGGCCAGGGCGAGTGCTGTGGTGTGTCAGCGGATGGCGGTGCAGGCTCTGGCTGGGTCTGCTCCGGCTCCGAAGGTTTGGCAGGGCTCCGCTGCATGCCGTGGTAGAAGATGCGTGTGTTGCGGTGCCATGCTGGGTCGGTGCTGTAGGCGTAGTGACGGCTGTCGACCCTTGTGGACTCGTCCGGTGGTTCCTGGTTTGTGCTGTCCCAGTAGTTGGCCCACCAAGAGCCATCCCAGGCTGTCCAGCAGCTGTCTGTTGAAGGGCGGGGCTGGTGGTAGCAACTCTCTTGCAGGGGAGGCCACGGGCATGGTGGTGGCGTCAGAGGCTCTTCCTCTTCCATCTGAGGCTCCTTGATGGCGGCCGTGTTGTGCTGAGCTGGCCCGCCATCGATCAGGCCGGCCCATGGTCGTTCTTCGCCCGGCATTGGCGAGGCACTGGGCTCATCGGTTGAAAGGCCAGTGCCTGGCCGTGCAGTGCTGGGCAATGCTGATGCAGAGCCCGGCTGCGTGGTGTCCTGTGATGCCGATGCCGAGGCGATCCAAGGTGGCTTCACTGGCGGGGGTGGGTCCTGCAAGGCGTCCAGGAACCTCGTCCTTGCGGCCTCATCCAGTTGTGAAAAGGCCACCTGGAAGGTTTTTAGGGCCTCACTTTGTGACGAAGCCATGGTGAAACGGGAGAATCTCAGCTATGCTTGAGGCGAAAAACTATGTTTGAAAAGGTGGCAGGCTGCAAGGAGTGTGTCAAACAACGGACTGTTGGCAGCGGCCCACAGTCAGTCATGCGAGACGTGGTGCGGGGCACTTGTCGATGCTGTGGGCGAGGCAGGCGAACATCATGGCGAGGATCGCGGAAAAGTACCTGGCAGCGGAGTGGGGCAGGTAAAAACAAGGGCGAATGGGGCAAGGCGTTACCCTGAGTGATTTCTTAAAAACTGGCCAATTAGTGTTCACCCATGGTGGGTGAAAGACTGAATAGGGTCGTCCTCAGCGTTGTCGCTGAGGATGGAAAAAGCAGCCTCGTCCGTGCTATGCACAGTGCTAGGCAGGGCCGAGCGTGACAAGCGGAACAAAGCTGCAAGGTCCTTAAGAGTGCAGCACACGGATAGTGCTAGGGCAGCGGCAGCATGAAGGCCTGTGGTGGAGAAGAAATCTGCTGTAGCTGCAGCTAGGTCGTGGCTGGAGCGGAACATCTTGTCTAGGCTTCCAGAACTGACAGTGCTCCACAGGCTTTGCTGTGCAACAAAAGACCTGCTGGGTAGGTGATGTAGGGCCCTGCTTGGCGGCGAAGTGAAGCAGGTTTGCTGTAGTGAAGCTTTGGCAAGAGTGCGCAAATGAGAGTGTCCATTTCAACAAGGCGCGGAACTGGGCCAGGTGGAAAGTGGCGGCGTGACACCCTGCAGTCTCCAGAGTTGCCAATAAATAGCTTGAAGTCGTCGCGAAAGAACGAAGTCTGGTGCTGGATGAGAAAATACCCAACACTGTCTTTTGGCCAGGCGGGGCAAAGAAGTGTGGTAGTACTTCGCACCAGGAAGCAAGCATGGCGTCGGTAGGCGTTGCAGAGCGTTCGTGAAACAACGGCCATGCGAGCATGGTGCAGTATGTACACCAAATGAAGTGAGCACTAAGGTTATGTAAAACCAAACTGCATTATGGCGGTCACAAAGGCAACGTAGTATATTGCAAGCAAAAAACAAATGAATTGTGGCCTGTGGTCAGGCGGGAGTGCGCTCCGCAGGACCTGGCAGGGCTTTACGTGTCTTAACTTGCAGTTAAGTGCTCGTGTTGTTGATGTTGTGTGGGACAAGGCTGCGGCCAAGTTCAAACAGAAGATCAACTAGGTTCGGGACGGCGGTCCGTTGCGTGGCCAGTACCTTGCACAAGCAAGACGAGGACACGCAACCCTGCAAATGGTCCAAGAACCAAAGGAGGGGTCTGGACGGCGGTCCAGCCTGCCCCTCAGCGAGCGCGCTGGGCCTAAGCTGTTCAAAACTGGGCGCGGCCCAAGAACAAGAGCAGGGGGCCGGACGGCGGTCCAGCCTGCCCCTCAGCGCCTGAGCTGTTTAATGCGGGGCGTGGCCCAACAGCTGAATCTGTTTGGGGAGCGGCCGCAAGGCCTTCCAGCGAGCGCGCTGGGCCCCAAGATTTGCTGTGCGGGGCGCGGCCCAACAGCGGCATAGATCCTGCCATGCGTGGCAGAAACTGCCAGTGTTTGGGGGCGTGGCACAAGACCACCCGGCATTGCGTGCCGGACCCCTAGGTGCAACGGTGCAGTTAAGGCGCTGGCCCGTGAAGCGTTCACAGTGCACCTTCCGCGGGAGTTGCACCTGGCCGAGCGGGCTAACGAGGTCCCTGGCTGAAAGCGTCAGCACGAGGGAGCCTACCCCTCAGCGAGCGCGCTGGGGCCTTAGCGGCTCAATGCGGGGCGCGGCCCCACAGCTGAAACTATTGGGAAATGGCCTTGAGGCCCTCCAGCGAGCGCGCTGGGCCCAAGGCTGTGCTGGGTGGGGCGCGGCCCAACAGCTGCACAGCGTGCGACCCTGGCGGAAGCGTCCGTCCGGAGGGGATCCGTATGATTTGGCTAGGCCTGCGGGCAAACAAACAGGAAATGGCCTGATAAGCCCACGTGTCCTCGAAACTGGGCTTGGCTAGGCTGCAAGAAGGCAGGCTGCAAAGTGGGGCCAATGGTGCAAAACGAGTTTGACAATGGTGCGCACTGAGGCCTGCACTAAAAACCATGCGGGGCCAATGCGAGGCATAAGGCTAGGCGAAACGGCAAGGCAAGGCGAAGCGGCGAAGCGGACATGGCGTTTCAAAGATGGAAACCGCATGGTTGTTTAGCTTGGAGCAGAAATGGCCACAAGCGGTGTAGATTCACATGCCCCTATTACACGGGGGAACAAACAACCCCTAGCCAAACGCGCGCGCGCAGGTGTCAAGCACTCCAATCGCCAAAGCATGGGCCAAGGTATGAATTTCGTAGGCGCTCCAGCGGCGCAGACGAGAACAGGGCGAAGTTCCCTGCGCAATCCGGCATGCCAGCCTCAAACCCGGTGGCGCAAGGCCAAACAAACTGCCCGCCAACGCGGCCTGAAAGCGAGTTGTCTTGCCTGGGGGCACGTCGGGAATGGTTGCTTGAGCTTGCCTGTGTCGGGCAGCCTTCCTCCGCAAATTTGAGGAGGTTGCGCTGGCCTGTTGCCGTCGGCGCGTCCGTGTGGCGGGACGGCGGAGGACAGGTGAGAGCCTTTTGCTGGCAGGGGCCCTGGCGCTTGGCACCTTGGCTTCGCTTCCTACATGTGCGCATTGTTGACCTTGGTCGCGCGCAGCCAACATCTGGCATCCGACCACAGCGAATAGGAGACACTGAAAAACAACCGGGGAGCCAGCAGCCAGCGTCACAGCATCTGGCATCTGACCGCAGAGACAAGCGGGAAACACCACAGCATGAGCGCGGAGACGGAGACGAGCGGGAGACACGACCCCGGAGCCGGCGTCACAGCATTGGAGACACAGGGGGACAAGCGGAAGACACGACCCGGACCCGGCGTCACAGCATCTGGAATCCGAACACAAAGACTGGGGGACGCAGAAAAACAGCGAAAGACACCACCCCGGAGCCAGCAGCCATCGTCACAGCATCTGGCTGAGACCCGGGAGCCGGCATTTGGAAACTGACCGCAGAGACTGGGGGACACAGGGAGACAAGCGGGAGACACGACCCCGGAGCCGGCGTCACAGCCGGCGTCACAGCACCTGGCATCTGACCGCAAAGACTGGGAGACACAGGGAAACAAGCGGGAGACACGACCCTGCCACGTGTGATGGGGAGCCGGCGCCCGTCACGTCGGATTCGCTCTGTTGGCTGCGACAGAAGCTGGTGCTTGCCTCGTATGCATATGCGCCGTGCCCGCTGCAGCTGAGGGTGTCCACACGGTCAAAACGTTCGAGGACGGCCCAAAAAGGGCACTGTAGTGAGGAAACGATGGCGAAAGGCCCGGACCGGGAGTGCAGGCGCGCTTGGGCAGCAGGATCGGCGCCCGCCAGCAAGGTCTCACGATGCCGGCGGGCCTTGGCGGCTGCACGAAGGAAGGTGGAAGGCCCCTCCTCTTGCACCACGGGCGCGCTCTCACCAGCAGACAGTTCCCGCCACGCCGGGGGATGCTGCGGAAGCCGCCGCAAAGCGGCTGTTCAAGTGGTTAAGAAGTTTTTGCGCAACGCGAGGCAAGCGGCGACTCCAAACAGCCAAGCTGCCAGCCCAGGAAGCCCAAGCCCGCCGTCACCAACCCAACAAACCCCTCCGGCGCACCTTGCTGGCTGAGGGCGGGTGGCACACGTCCGGACAAGTTCCTTTTTTTTTGGCTTACAACTGTTGAGGCGCACACGGCAGTGCGCCCGGAGCAAGGTCTTGGTGGCGGTTCATGGCGTCAAAAGCACCGGGAACAGGAGCGCTTTCCGGATCAAACTCGAGGGCGGCCGTGAGAAAACAAGCCACACTCTCCGCGCCAGATCGCGTGCAGCAAACTGAAAGGAGAAGCATGCTTCCTGGAAAGCCTCCGCCTTCTGCTGGGCGAAACACCGCGCAACCAAACGGTTCCGCGCGCGCTGGAGGTTTGAAAGCACCAGTTCAGGGAGCAAGTGGACCTTGGGTCGGGGCCGTCAAGATGGTCAAAAAACTCTTGCGCGGCAAACCGTCGCAAAGAGCTGGCCCACCCAGAGCTCGCGCGGGCGCGCAGATGCCGGTTGGTTGTGCTTGCAGTTGAGGTTGGTGGGTGGTGGAGTGATGAGGCCGACTCCTTCATCCGGTCCTTGGCCCGCGCCCGGGCACTTGAAGCGCCAGTTCGGCTGCGGAGGTCCGCTGCAACTTCACTGGTCTCTGTCTCGGGCAACGGCGTGCATTTTCAAAGACACTGGTGTGGGGCGCAGCCGCTGTGGACAGCGCGTGCGTCACAACCAACACCCTCGTGCGCGATTTGAATATACTGCCCGCATCGACCGCCTGGAGCAGTGCTGGTGACTCGCCCGCTTTCGGTCGACACTGATGCCCGGCGTCATGAGTGGACGTACCTCAAGCCCTTTCAGTCCTCCGGCCGGCGCTGCCTGGCCTTCCTTTGGGGTTCCGCCAACTTCCGGCCTTGCCCTTGCGCGCCGCCGCAAGCTCAGAGCGCTGCCACTTGGTTGTCTGCGCCGTTGCGCCCTGGCGCGAGCCACAGCGCGTGAGGCCCGTCCGTTTCCGGTCTAGCCTGGTCGCTGTTCTTCGGGCCTGCTGGTCCGCGCTCCGGTCGCACGCAGCCATCCGGCCATGCCGACGGTGAGTTCCCGCCCCGCAAATGAGGCGCCCCTCACCGCTATCCGGCTGCCTGCCTGCTGGCTGCATTTGCACACACTGGTATGGACGAAAAGCCGCAAACTGCTATGCCAGGTTTGCTTGCGGAGCCTTGGGGTCCGCAACAGCGCGGGCGAACATGGCGTCGCGCGTGGCGCCATCAAAAAGTCCGGTGCGGCCGAGCAAGCACGCCTG